CACCTGGGGCAAAGACAAAGAAATGTTACTGGCAACGTACAAGGCAATTGGCCGGCCGGTTCTGAACTATGCAGTACCCGTGTGCTCGCCGGGAACTAGAAGGACGCAGTGGATGAAGCTGCAGACTTTCCAAAACACGGCACTCAGGACAGCCTGTCGATGCCTTTTGATGTTGCCGCAACATCACTAGCACGACGAAGTGCATATGCTCCCCGTTAAGGAGCATAACACAATGCTCTGGAAGCAGATTCTTGTTGGGGCCAAACAGACAGCTGCGTGCAGAAGAGCACATCAGGAGACATCTCTACGAACTGACGGATGATGTCCAGAGGTTCATCAAACAACCTCTGGATCCGACAGCTTATAGACAGGCCTTGAACGGCATTCGCAGAGACAGTCTCTAATTATGTAGACTCTCGACCTGTGAATGCAGTTCCGGGCACACAAACACCAGACGTGGACGAGACAGAACTTCGTCTGCCTCGGGAGACTCGGAGCACATTAGCCCAACCGCGCTCTGGTTACTGCAGCAGGTTGAACCCATTTTCGAGCAGAATAAACGAAGATGTTCCAAATGAATGCCCGGCACGCGGAGAGACGCCCCATGACTCACAGCATATCTTCGCATGACCACTGAACCTCATCCTTCTGACACCCCTGTCCCTTTGGACAGACCTCATTGAGGCTGCATGCTTCCTGGGGCTACCGCTGGGAGAGCTTGACGACAACGATTGAAGGACTAACCGATCTGGGCGGGGTTGTTGTAGCTGCTGCATCAACCACAACTAAACGCGCTCTTACACGATATGTATTTTCATATGTAAATTCTACTTTTCTGATACGTTCTAATATACGGTACATACGAGTAAATAAATAAAAAGTAGCATTTACATATCGAGGGCTTATATTCAATACCCTCTATCTGCAAAAACTCAATTTTTCAGGAGAGCCAAAAAACTGTTTTGACAGCTATTTTTAAAAGTGTTAATAATTTTAAGTACCCACGCATGTCTTGAAAATTCACGCTAGATATTAAAACTAGGATTTTACCTTTAATTCATTTTATTTTAGTTTAAAGATCAGATAGAGGTTATTGCAATTCGAATTGTAACTATTTATATAAATAAATGTGCTGATAGCGGGTTTGCAGAATAATAAAAATGTCAGTTCTTTAGATGTAAATGTTATGTTAAACTAAGTTTTAAACACATAAATCATTGGTCTGCAAACTTGCTCCCTTCTATTCCTACGTGCCCAGGTGACCACATAATTTTAATGGTGTTTTTGTGTCAAAAGAGTATATCACGTGATTTCGAAATTATATGAGAATCATTAGCACCGCTAAAGAGGGCTTCGATGGCTGATTTACAATCCGTGCATGTGAGGAAATTTCCTTCGTTTTTAGAGGCTAAAGGTACAGCTTCTAGCAATTGTATATGCCGAGTAGTACCCGGGAAAAACACCTACGACAATTGTAAAACCAACCGCTTTTGTTACCGCAAAAGCCGGTATCATATCTAGAACCGTCTGTGAAAACAAGCTCCCAGGTCATTTATGAGTATAGAACTTAGCAAATGCCTTTGCGGTAGAGTTTTAACTTTAGTAGGCATCGGAGTAGATATGATGTCCAAATCTTTGATGCAGCTTAATATACGAAATAAAGCTGATTGCTTGCTTCATTGGCTTCTTGGTTGAAAGCAGGATTCGACGTGAGAGAATAAACTCTCATTTCTGCAGCGAACAATCTTTGGGATAAGCATTTTTGTGTTGTACTTTACCCCGTGGTTATGGTTCTTCTGAATGCTGCATGGTATGGTGTTTCTATCAATTTAAGATACTTTTGCGCAGTGTCCCTAAATTACGAGTCCAAAGTCAATTTTTCCTAATATAAAAGCCCTAATTACATTTACCAGTGTAGTGTGATGTACAGTCATTTCAGTTTTTCCACAAAAACATCACACAATATTTTTGTAGGAAAAAACCAAAAAA